ACATTTTGATTTCTAACTGATTTTTCTTTTTTTTTTTTAAATAAGCACAAAATTTATCTCAATTACATATCCTTATTCTCTCTCACAAAAAGTTTTGTCCATATTTTGGGAAGCCAGATACACCTGGTATGAAAATTCTAAGGAAAAGTGGCCAAGTTTGATGTTAAGTTCTAGAAATTCAAAACTAAAAGTTTTCCTCAGAGACAGCTGCTCTAAACAACAGGACATGTAGGTCAAAAGATGTGACTGTTCCAAAACTCTTGGGGTCTAGTGATGCAATGTGTACTTCTGCCCCTTAACCTAGATATGCACTTCTCATTTGTAAATATAAACATTTTCTGCTGAACTTCCACAAAGGCCAGGACAAACATTTCTGATAGATGTGCTCATGTATTCCAAAATGGAAAAAAACCCCATTTTAAACTGCTAAGTTCCCAAGGAAACTAGCATCTTGACTCTTACAGTCATGCACATGTCAGGAAATGCCAGTTACAACAGATCATACACTAATGGTTAATTTCTATTTCCACCTAGAAATGCTGAAGCCTGCTCAGTCACACCATTTCTAGCATATTCCTCATGTTGTTTCCTGTGTCACATCCACAATTAGTGCTACCCACTGTCAAGGCTCTATACCCTCTCAAATGGCCTTTTCCTTGATTAAGGAAACTTATTAAAGATGGCACCACAACATTCCAAAGTAAGGTCTGACCAGTAAATAGCAGCACTCCCATGACCATACCAAGAAAAGCACAACAGTATAACTGAGCTTTTTTCATCTCTATAGTACCCTGTTTCACAGATACAAATTTGAAGACTATTTCCATATCAGAATCTACAGAGAATTACTGAGATGCCTAATTTGGATTAATTTATTAAACTAGAAAAATAAAAATCGATATTCATAACAAAATATTTTACCATTTAACTTTTTTTAAACAGTTTATGTAGTAGTTCTGAATGTAGCAGTTTATGCACTAAAATGAGAAGATGAAATATCTATCAATTCACACTTTGAACAGTTACAAAGCCATTCTAATTACACATTACCCTTTCCTTTGACAGCTAAATCTGCCTTAGACAGACAAATTTGAAACTAGATTTAAAACCAAGCTAGTACCACACTGCTAAAACAATCACCCTGCACTCCCAAAGATGTAAGAGTTTATACCCAGCAGTGAGCTGGAGGTTAGAACAGCCCAGCTGCAGGGCTCACACAGCCTCAGGGACAGCCCTGGGGCAGGGGAAGGGGCTGAACCCTCTCAGGAGGCAGGAACCCTCTCAGCAGGCCTCAGCAGCTGGTGATGTACTGGGGGTTTTTTGCCTCCCAAGGGAGCAGCTGGCTCCCAGCCACAGCTGCAGACCTCTCAGGCACACATTCCCACCCCACCCCAGCACTGGCAGTTCTTCACTTCCACTCCTTCCCCCTGTGAACCACTGCATGGGGACATACCCAAAACACCTTCAACATGGACAGACCTGTAAAACTAGACCCATAGTAATTTTTTTTACTGGCTTTCCAAAGAAGCCCAAGCCTACACAAAGGCTAGGGAAGAGAGGGGAGAGCTGCAAGAGAGGCATCCCCAACCTGACTTATCACAGACATGCTAACCACGTATTTAAAGCATCTGTGAACATATCTCTTACTGAAGGGACAATACATTCAGAATTAATACTAGTGGAAGTTAAAAGATCAACTCAAATGCAGTAGCGCAAATTTCAGAGCTCAGTGCAGTTGAAAGTTAATGGACAACTGCTTTCCTTGGCACTTCATGCACTCATTGTAAATGGCCAATTTCACCATTTCCTCTGTACTGCCACTTTTCTGTCACTTAAAAAACAGGAAAGTAGTCATGAAGTAACAGGAATTACCAGGGGATCAGGGGAAGCACAGTACTCTAGAAAGCCTCAACTTGCTTTCGTGATCAGTGTGCAGTTTAACATGTGCTCCTATCACTGCCAGCACACACACAGCTGTCCAACAATGGAAAAACTCCGTGTTCTCATCAGCCCCACTGCTCATTGCCATCAAATATTCTGGATGCCAAGAGGTTTTCCATCTAGCATTAACCCAGTGCAACAACAGCTCCTGTGAGGTAGAAATCAGACTTTTAGGATTTTTTAACTCAGAAGAGTCTTGGTAAAGGTAGCTGAGCATAGACACCCTCCCCACCCTCCCTAAAGAAACACCAACAGATCAAGTGGGAAGGTTTTATCAGAAGCAGCTGTTACTATTGACAGCTCCAAGGTAACTCTTGCAACAAACAGGTTTGAGCTCAGGGTTTTTTGAGAGATTCCTGCTCAGCTAGAAACATCAGAGCAGCATTGCTCAATCCCATTTAACCCTTTGACAGCAGCCTCTCCACCTCACTCCAATGGGCTAGTTGCGATTTTGGCAGAAGCCACTGCCAGCAAGTCCTGATTTTGTTCTCAGCTATATTCCACTTCAAATGAGCTCATAAGAAATAACTTTAATCTTTTGTGCAGAAATATATTGGGAACTCTTGGGGAAGAAAAGAAAAAAACCACATGACAGTAAAACCAAACAAATCTAACAGCAAATCGTATCCCAGTTGCCTCAGCTTTGGAGATAAAGCAGGAGAGGCTGCAGCAGATTTTGCCAAGAGGCTCAGGCTGGGCTGCCCAGCCTGGAAGCAACCCAAGTGCTCACTACAGTACTTCACTCCATTTGGCCAGGCAGCCTGTCCTTCACCCCATCTCACCCTCACACTGGCTCTGACAATCCACGTCAGCACCTGGCAAAGAAATGCTCCTTGGCTGGTTTAGCTTTCTGGTAGTGGTGGGCTGAACTGGCTTTCTCCAGGGACACAGCAGCACCCGAGGAGTCCAGAGCAGGTCCTCTCTCTGCTTCCAGCAAGCTGTTTCTTAGGCTGCATCATGTCACTCCACACTTGCTCCAGTGGGAAGAATGGAAGCACAGCTTTGTTCCTAGTGTAATCAGCTAAGTATGTTGTTTTATTTTACGACAGAGAAGCTGAGGCTACTTTCAGTTGGCTATGCAGTAGTTAACCTATGAAAACCTACCTCATGAGTTAAAGCCTAACTTAAGTTTTTCCCTCAGTTTATCCAGAGTTTGAAAACTACATCAAAGAGTTCCCCATGTGATACTTCAGAGAAATAATTATATGGGCAGCTAAGACTGTTAGCTATACCAGACTCCACCCCTCACCATAAAGGAAAAAACTCAAACAAGCAAACAAAATTAAAACTACTCTTCACAGTGTTCCCTTGAAACAGTGAAATCCTTCAGGATGTTTGCCACAGCTATCTAAGAAATAGTGCTTAAGTATTCCTTACAGCACCATGGCAGAAGGGTCCTTCTCATCCCTGTGGTACTTGCACAAGTGTAGGGCAATGAGTATTTGTCTTACCCCAGGAAAGGAGAGAGCAATCTCAAAATCAATAACTGGTATGAAAATACATCAGTGTATTATTGTAATATCTAGCTCAATTTCATGTGCTTAAGCTTAATTGTCCAAGATTACTAATTTTATATAATTTGACAGAGATATTTTTTCTTTCCATCTGCAAAAGACTAACAAAGAGGAATAAGGAGAAAAATCACTAGCTTCTTCTATGCAGTTCTCTCTTCCCTCCTTCAAAATCACTTTTTCCTTAAACCCCTGAATATTCTTTAAAAAAAGCACACATTTAGGCTAGAGGAAACTGTAAAATAGCCTAGAAAAAGCAAATTAGTATGATGGCCTTCTTCTTACTAAACATGACATTTATAAAGTATTTGCGAGTTTTAAAATGTTGCAATAAAAATAATGGAGAGAAGAAACTAGGCCAAGACATTTAATTGTAAAAGTTACCGAAAAAATCATTGTGCTTCTTCTGCTGTAATTAGAAGACTGCGCAGAAGTTTAGCAGGGAGAATTTCACTTAAAATTTCACAATATCGTGTTGGATGACAGGCATCCAAAAATCCTGTATCAAATTGCTTTGAAGATCTCAAACTAGTTCCTTAGGCAGAGAAAGGTGTTTCAACCAAGAGTTTAAAAAAACCCAACCAAACCAATCCCAGAAAACTGGCTAAGAGCCACTGCTCTTAGAGTTGAAGGAGACTAGGAGATAAATGCAGTATTTTTAGATTAAATGAAAACAAGCAGATATTATCCCATGAGAATGTTACATTTTTGCCAGAATACTAAGACAATTTAGTGCTTTTTTGTAAACAGACTCTAAAATCACCACATAGCAGAAAAGCTGAAATGAAATTGATATCAATCTTAGAACATTAGTTATAAATGCAAGAGTAATGGCTATTAAAGACTGCATCAGCTGTGCAGTATAAACACATAACTGTTATAATTTTCTTGACTTCACATTTTCCTTTTCTCAAAAGTTTTCAAAGCAGACCAACAGTTCCTAGTGTAGTATCAAACTATTAAGTCATTACATATTTCAAATAGATTAGAAAAATTAAGATTAAGCCACATCCGATTCATTCCACTCTATAATTCCAGATGCATTTCTGTATTTTTATTAGTAATTTTAAGACCACCATCAACAATGCAGGATTCAATAAATAAAACTGTAACAACTCAGACTTTATTCTGAGTCGCTCAAAAACATATCCACCCCTTAAATACTCTTCTATACAATGTCAGATAACAAAGCAAGGGCATGTAGATTATCTGTTGAAACTAGTCTTTCCTACAAGGGCAGAACTTGAAGGACATACTTGGAAAGCTACTCAGCCCTGAAAGACTCTCTGACTACAAACATTTAAAAACTCTTTTAAAGAGCACATGAAGCATGCAGAGGCCACAAAGCCCAGTGTTGTGGGTTTGATTCTTTTTCTAGCTAACTAATGCTAGAAGTAAAACCTCCACAGGAAAACAGAAACCACTGGAATGGAAACACAAAATTTATTATCAGTATATTAATATTTTCTGAAGCCCTTGCTGAGACGAGAACAATTGTTTAATTGTTCAAACAATTAAAGCCAAAATTGATGAGCTGTGAGTTTTTACCTCAGACTGCAGGTGCTGGATGACAACTGTTAATGCTTCAAACTTTTGGTTACTGGATGTCAGGAATTTTTTCAGCTGCAGGATGATTCCACTTTGGGTCTCACATTTTGTTTTGTACTGTGTCAACTCGGCTGCTTTAGTGCCAGGTGAACGTGCATCTGTCGAAGCCTGAGTCCGTATGCATGAGCTCTTGGCACTCCGCTGCTTGCCCTTGTCAACTAAGGGAACAACAACAATAACGAATCAATATGCATTTCATGCTGAAATCTCACCACAATGTAAAGGACAGGTGCAAAAGAAAGCAGTTATAAATTCCTACAAACACTTGCTGAAACGCTTACTAGGAGAAAGGGTTATTTCAGTAGCATTGCAGAGCAGGTACTATCAATTTGTTAATTCCTAACACCACAACCTTGGATACTATGTTCTGTACTTCATCCTCACCATCATGTGTTCTGTGGCATACTTTTCAGCATACTCTTCACAGTGGGCTTTGCAAAAATACTTTCATAAAATGAAAGATATCTGTCCTCCTATCTGTTCAGTAACTTATTTCTAAAATAAGAGTTGTCCTCTTTTGTGTGCAACACAGAATTCATACTTCCTGCACTCTAAAGTACTGCTGAATACGAAACCATTTTCTCTACATTTCCTTTGTTATTTTTCTTCCTGTCAAAATTTTAATTGTAAAAACTCCCCTCTCTGTAGCTGAGGCCTGAGCTTTATTAACTAGAGGTCTTGCAGCATTTCTTAAACGTAGCAGTTTTCAGTCACAAGGATAAGACTTTAGGAAAGCTCTAAAATGTAATATATTTCAATATATTTTCACAGTCCTGAAATTACATTATTGATTTAATACTCTTAGTTTTGTGGCAACCTCAATGCTTTCACAGTACACAATCATCTCATATCAGAGGAAACCAGATGACATAAATCAGCACTTGACTCAAACACTGTATTTTCAGGTTTCTCTGCTGCCTTCAGACTGGAAAGGGAGTACAGAACTGGTGTGCAGATAGGGCCAGTCTTCCCCCCTTGATCACAAAGGGAATGAGCAAACAATTTTGCAATAAAAGGCTGATGCAATAGACAAATATCCCTTGGCAATTTAATGAAGACATCTAAGCAGATTACTTTGTACAGTTTCAACTTAACAAGATTTCTTCACGATAGAGTGAAAAAACCTGAGAGGTGAGATCTGGATAAAAGAAAGATTTGAACAATCGAAAAAAAATAAGGGGACAAACTAAGCAACAAGAGTCAATCTTTTCTGAATCCCAAGCACCTGGTTTGAAGGTTGTCAAATGACCCTAGAATTATCCCAGCAGGGTAAAGTTCAATCTCACAACTGGAGAAAGTATTAAGAACAAAAGCTTTAATTTTCAGTTAATGTTAGTCTGACTGACACATCAGCATTGTATTAATATATCAGTCTTCCACAGCCTACATTTTTTTTAGTCTTTGAAAATAGTTTTCCTGTTCAAAATACTAACATCCTCTAAGCCTTCCTTACTGAGCCTAGTATAAAGTGCCTCTTGAGCCTATTAATTTTCCAGATAAATCTGCTCTGGGCAAGAATTTCTGCCAGTTGGAGAATTGTCATCATATTGTGCTTTATAATGTTCAAATGCCCTTGTATTCTTGGAGATCTCCATATGCTTCTGCTCAGAGATGCAGACTGTTAAAGATTGTTAACATTAGAAACATACCATTGTGCAGCTTAATATTAGAGCTATTAAAAGGTGTATCAACCCAAATCAAAATACAAATGTGTAGGCCAAAAGCATCAAGGTTGGCTGCCACTTCCAGGTATTTTTACCACTATTTAACTAACATGACCACTTCTTCTCTCACTGTGTAACATCTTTGAAGTAGACACTTTTACACAAATGCCAGTTCACATCTGAGAGCAACCGTGCCAAATTTTCAGCAATCTTATGGACAATACTGTGTGAAGGAAACTACTGGTTACCTTCTGAAGCTCCTTCAAAAATCACAACAAATAATAATCGAGAAGGAGAGGGGTGGGGGAAGAAAAGGGATTAGAGAATAAACATGTAGAGTCAGTTCTTCCCTTCCCTACTGCCTTACATACTCCTACTCTCTCATATATTCCACCTCCCTTCCTGAATGCTCCACTTATAACAAATAGAGAACAAGAGCTTTATTCTTGATGTAGGACTATTGGGTAAATTCACTGATACAGATGCTAGTTTCATAATTTAATTAAATATTTGAAATTAGTTTTACAACCATCACGCTGACAGAGCTGTGTTAAACCTGAACAACTGCAGACAATTTCTACGCTGGGGAAAAATTACATCACACAGTTAATTACCTAATGAAAAAGTTTCATTTAAATACAGTGATACAATAGCTAAGGACAAATGACAAAAGGCTCCAAATATTCATTGTTTCTGTAGTTCAGCCAGTCCTTATAATTTTGTCAGTTTCATGCCACTGTTTTTCTCCTGCTGCCCAGACCACCAAGTATTTTTCAAGAAGCTCATTCAAGCATCCAACCAAGCCAGCCCTTGATACTATACTAAAAAAAGCTGAACAAAAAACATGCATGAAGTGAAACTCAGTGACATTCCTGTTGGCAATTTTATCATAGACATGTGCTATACACAGCCACTTCAAATGCTGAAAAGCATGAGCCCTCTGTAGCATGAACTGCCTCTACAGATTAACACCACTGACACGACGATGTTTATTTATGGCCTACGTACCTCTGGGCAATGACAGATCGTTTCCAGATTTGTACAGAAGGCATGCTGTGGTGTCAAAACAAAAGCCATGCTTTCATTAAGACAAAAGCATCATGAGTCTGATTAATGATACCACCACATCAATGACAGAGACTAATTTAAAGATGCTATTGGTTAACAGCCCAAGCCCTTCTCACTTGGGCCAGTTCACCTGCCACCTCTATATAGTCAGACTTGTAACACAGAGCAATTTCCACATTTAAATCAGGTTCTGGACTCCTCTCCAGCAGGCTCAAAACCCCTTTACCCAATAGAAAGCTTGGTAAGTTGTAAGGTGGAAAGCTTGGTAAGGTGGAAGACAGAAAATCAGATTTTCTAGTACTGCATGTAGTACAGTAACTGGACAGAATCACCATCCTATCCTTCACACCAGTAAAGAAGAAAAATAGCAGTGATTTTGCAAAGACTAAGCCTTTTGATGATTGAATCATTCACAGAAGATTTGATTTGGATCTTGGAAAAGGTTCACAAATCCTCTCACTTCCCCCACAGCCATTATATGGATGGCACAGCAGTCTTCAGTTCACTGGGGAGAGCATTAGACCCACTCCAAGCTTCTCTGTGAAGCAAACTGTTTCTCATGCATAGCTGTTCAGAGGCAAGAAATACACAGCAGTCAGTACATAGGGTGTGTTCCACAAAGCTACATTTAGGTTCTGGGGTTCTGCCCAGTGCTTGACACAGTATTTGTCTGGCTGGCTACCTCAGAGCTTGCATTGTGCTACTGGTTTCCTGAGCCTCCCTATCTTGTGCATTGTTGTTGGGTTACCAGAAAAATCTCTTAACACACTTTGTTTGGATTGAAGAGCCAAATCAAAGCCTTCCTTTGCATATCATGTACTAGGAAGTTATGTGTAGTAGTATCTACACTAACTACAAATTATTTTAGGCAAGAGATTCAATTTTAAAAACAATGAAATTTTTTAAAAGCATTCAAAATAGACTAAACAAGTTTCTCGACAAGCACAAATAGAAACAACTTCACTTCTCTCCCCACAACTACAGTCACAACTGTCTTACCCCCAAGCACAGTCTTTTCACATTCATCATCCAAACTGTTAGCTTCCACAGGTCTTTCAAAACCCACGGGCGTCGGGTGTAAGCATTTTTCAAAGAAAAATTCTTGCTCAACATTTTCTCTCATGGGAAGATGCAGGCTGGTAAAAACTTTCTGCCTCTCCTCCATTTTCTGGAAAGCCTTGTCTACACATGTTAAATTGGTGCTCACTTCTTTGATCAGTAGCACCAGATCAGCCTGAGTATTTAATCGAGCTTCCATTTCTTCTCTTACTCTCTGGATTTCCTCAAGCACAGTTCTTATATCCAAGTGACTGGACTTCACCTCTGCTTTGAGATCTTCTTTCACCTGTTGCTGGCTCCTCTGCAGTGCTAACACCGTTCTGATTTCCTTCTGAGATGTTTCCACATCATGCTTTAGTGCCTTCTGCCCAGCCTGCATTGCCTCCTGGCTGGCTTTCACTTCTGCCAACAGAGCAGCGATGCACTCCATCCCGATCCCACGGGAGTTTCAGGACCTCTTCCAGTGTCACAGCTTCCACACAGTCAGGGACATCTGTGAGCCAGTATCAGATTTCCCCTGATGGCAAGCCAGCTAGCACACAGCCTTGGGATGGTATCCTACCACAATTTGCAGCACCCTGCAGTGAAGGCACTCGGTAAAAGTCTTGTACAAGGCGAGCCAAAGGCACTACATGAAAGACTTCAACAGGCAGGGCTGTAGTCAGAGCTCCTTCTCAGGATTCAGCCAGAGCACTAATCAGTTTAATTGGCCACACCTGAATTTTTTAAAATCTTTTGCTGACATCACTGTACGTGGGACGTCACCCCAAAAGCCACTCCCAACAGCCACTTGATCTGTGCATCAATCAAAATATGCCTGGGCATCAGTAACCAGGTTTGTTGCAACGCAGCCAAACACTGCGAGAACACACTGCCCCTTCCTGTATGACACAAAGGCTCAAAGGAACCCTGAATTGCCTGCAGGAGCTGAAAGCCAAACAGTTCAACAGCGTGTAGTTATTTCAATTGTGTATTCAACAAGGTGATTATGCACCTGTCCTGCTAATATGAGGTTCAGGTGTACATCTGTGGACATGTTTGATAATGCCCCACTCTCACTGAGTGCTCTCTTTATTCACACAGCAGCAACACCCTTCTGGCAATTTCTGGAAGAACACAGTTCCTGAGGAAACTCTCTAATCCACAAACAATAACACAGCAATATGGGGAAAATTACTAATGAGATATTTTTGCCATGTTAAGGAGGCCAAGCCTTTTAGCTACAAGGTCTGAGTGTTAACTTTTCTCTGGAAAGGCTAAGGCTTCTTATTTTTAAGCACAAAACTCTTAAAAGGTCTAGGCTCCATGTGAAAACAGGTGGATTAATGGCACCGGGCTGCTGGCTGTTGTGTTATACAGCAGTTTAA